AGGCTGCTCTTTACCGCCTAATAGAATGTATAGCTATTGGGATGAACAGTGTGATCTGTTCCACAGGTCTTCAAGTGCAAATCATGAAAACATTCATTGCAGAAAATCTCTTTGACATCATTGGAGAGTTATTGGTGTAGTGAAATATACTTTAGAATAGACATTGAGTTGATTGTAGACTTCAGAAGCGATGTAGTTCCATTGTGAACGTGTTACGAGTAGAGACGTTGAAACTCGGAGCGTTCCTCGCTAAAATTGGATTTTTGCTGATTTCGTTGCTTTGATATCTTTAAATCTTTAGCAGAGTGTAGCGTGCTATATAAACTTTTCCATAAATCAAAGTATTGCAATGTCTGTGGCGACTGTAGGTCTATGGTATGGTTTGCGTGTTCTGGGTTTAGCCCTTCGTTGGTAAAAACAGGTGGTTCAGTGGAAATGGATATGAAGACAATATCGGATTAGCGCATTGCTATTCTCGTGACAAAACTGAGGAGTAGTTATGCCTCTCCTCCGATTAGCGTACACCAAGTTGCCAACAGATTCTGGCGTTAGCTGGAACATTCTCTTTTCTTTGAGCCTATCCAGTTCTTACTTTGAACTAAAGAAGTAAAGAAAAGGGAAGTAAAACCAAATTTGCCATTGCTTTGCCTAATTTAGTTTTACTTCTTTGTGTAGATTTCCCTCTAGCAAGCCAACTTTGGTGTAAAGACTAAGCGCCTGCTTAAATCTCTAGGATACAAGACGTTAACAACGCAGATTTTCAATTTTACTCATCGCTCAATATCACTGTGAGAATAGTCATCCTTTTCAAAATATTTGTAGTTTTCCAATAAACTCGCGAACTTTTCGGCATATATTTTTATAGCCTTCATACAAACTCGAGGAAACATTTTCGAAAAATTAGACTGCCTTTGAGTCACAATCTTGAACTGCTTATGAGCGTTCCGTAAAATTTGGGCTTTTGAGTGGTAATTCCAGAGTCAGGTCTGGCTTGTTGTGCTGTTATCTGAGCAAAACAGGGAAGTTCAGGGAAGCTAAGTTT